ACACACACAGACACACACAGACCTCAGCAACCTTGAGAGCAGTGTGATAGCTAACAGGAAACAGCTGGAGAGCAGGCTGCAGAAACACACAGTTATGGAAACGCCTGCAGACATGCGCAAATTCACATTCACACATGGGCAGCTGCCACTGTTTGAGTTCTACAGCCTATAAAGAACAATACCTTCTGAAGCTCTTTAGAGGCAGAGTCTGTTGTTCTAACAAACCTGAACAAAATGTATTTTGACTGCAGGACCAAACACACTGTATACACACATTCAGGGCTCTATTACTCACTAGCACTGGATGTGACCTGAGCTGGACCAGCTTATGGGAGAGACAAACAATAACAATGACTTCATTTAGACTTGAAGAGATTTGACTACATGACAGGAGAGGGCTAGAAAGAAGGGAGGGCAATGGAAAGAAAAGAGAAGAAGAGATGGAATTTGTGCATAAGACAGGCAGAGATAAAAGAGAGGTGAAGCTTGGTGGAGCCTCAGGGTACACCAGACCCTAAATGACACAACAAATTTAGGTCGTAGAAAGGTTACACGCCATGATTTTGAGTGCATCTGTCTGTGTCTGCCCGTGTTCTTTATGAGCCGTATAAATTACCATGCCTGAGCATTTGTGTCCGAGACAACTGGTGCATCAGCAAGCCTGCCCCAACCCCTTAAAAGCTCTATTATATCTAAATGCATTCTTACCATAATTCAAGATACATTTTGTTCTCTTCTTCTTTCTGGAAGTCATAGTATAATTTCTCTGATAGTCAGCTTGTGAAAGGGGTTCGAATGGCCTCGATTTTTTTCAAATAATAGACAAGGCTATTTGGTTTAGTTTCTTATTCATAAGAAATAAGAAATGCCTAAAACAGTTTTCAGTTCATTCTCAAGTCGTCAAGTTGCCAAGTCTCACTTGACAATTCTGATATCCAAGTTTGTTACTGATGCACTTTTAATTACTTTTAGAAAGTAAACTTTATGCAAAATATGAAAAAAAAAAAAAAAAGTGTGACCGCGCATGCTCAACTTTTGAAATGGTTTAATTCCATGGAAATAGCATTCTTTTCTTTGTCTTTTTTTGTCTTTGGGTTTAACAAGATTAGCCCCCCAGGAGGTGGACACTGTACATTAATTAGCATTAGACTTGTTGATGAAGATTGTATTAGAGTCGTAGTTTTATAGTTATACAGGATATTTTACAGGAACACGTAGAACTTCTTAAACCATATTACATGTGCTTTCGATCAGCATCTAGCGTCAGGTTTATTTAAACCACGTTTTCCCCAAGTAACAGTTTATTGTTTTGCC